TTTTTTTTTTTTTTTTTTTTTTTTGGTTTTTAACTGTCTTTAACCTTTTGTCTGCATGGGTCAAAGACTCCAATTAGGTTGTCCAAAGTAATAACGTTAAATACCTAAAACAACAAAAATGGATTCATAAATTTCATATTCATAACATCTAATGCCCAAACAATTTAATTATTATCATTTTTTTATTTTTTATTTTTTTTTGGCTGCAGCTTCATTCCTCTGCGGCATGTTCCAGAAAAAGCCGCCATCGCCGGACCCCACGACCGCCAAGAAGGAAGAAAAAACCCCATCAGCCGGCCGGGATTCCGACGACCCGCCGGAAAACCCGCTGCCGGTCGGGCGGCACATGCGGGCAGCGTCGTGCAGCGAGCAGCACCGGCGGTCGAACTCAGGGGCTTCGAAGCTTGTGTCGAGCGTGAGCATGAAGGTGAAGGAGAAGGAGAAGAAGAAGTTGAAGCACGAGGACTCGATATGGAAGAAGACGATAATATTGGGGGAGAAGTGCCGAGTGCCGGAAGAGGAGGACGACGAGACTATATTCTACGACGAGAAAGGGAACAGGATTCCGGCATACCATCACCGGAAAAGCCACAGTGGGGCCCTCTCGTTTTCCCGGCCGAGTGTCGATTATCTGGAAGATTTATCAAGAAAATAATAGGTATATTAATGTATAGCTTTTTTTTTTTTTTGGTTCTGATTTTATGTTTGTAGATGTTTGCTTCTCTGAGTTTTTTACTGAAATTTGTGGGTGAAAAAAGATTTCAATTTTGGTTATTTGAGTGTCAAATTTGTTTTTTTTTTAATTAATACAATAAAAATTGCTGAATTCCAACATAAATTCTAATAAAATTAATTAGAATTTAAATTACTACTTAAATGAATATTTCAATGCTATTATTTATTGTTGGAATTTTTCAATAAATTCCAATGAAAATTTCAAGGAAAATATTCCGTTGGAATGAGTTTTCCATTGGAATTTTGTTGAATTTTGACGATTCTAACATTTCTCAATGGTTGAAATATGGGTGAAAATAAAAATTTCAACAGAAATTGCATATTTCAATGAAATTTCTACTATAATATTAAACCATTGCAAAAATGACAATCAGAATCATCACATTCCAGCTAAAATTCAATGAAAAACTCATTACAAAACGGAATATTTTTTGTTGGAATTTCATATTGAAATCATTTTAACAAAAGTTATACCATTTGAAGATTCATTGAAATTTTCATTAGAATATATTACTATTTGATTTTCATGATAGTTTTTCTGGAGCACTATTTTGATCTTAGTTCTTTTGTTGTAGTTTGAAAAAGTAGTTAGAACCATAATTTGACGATCAATTTGAATCAAGAAATTTGTAGTTTTTATTTGAGTACTTGGTGTGACAATATTTGTAAGGGAGTAAACAAGTGCGGTCTCACACACGTGAAGCGCATTATAACAGGGAAAGCCCAGATGAAGTTCAAGTAAAGTTTCATTTCAAAATCAATTAGTTGAAGGAGTACTATCCCACTAGGCTTATAAGTTAGACATATTCTCTCGGTATAAACGATGTGGGATAATTCACAAGTGATATTCAACATGTCCCCTTACTTATTAGTCCTTCATACGAGGCCCAAGCCCAACTGGGTTGGGTTACGTGTACGTCATCACACAGTCCCACGTAAAACCGATTCTGATACCATATAAGAACGGATATGTCATCGCACGGTCCCACGACCAGTTGGTTTTGGGATGGAACCTCACTTGGGCTTCATCTGGGCTCACTTTCGCCACTGTTTCCTACATCGTATCTCAAATCGTTTATTGGGCTTCATCTGAGTTTTTTCTGTTATGGTGCGTTTCAAGTACTGTGGTACTCTACCCGTTTTTTCCCGTTTCTTACAATATTAAAAATGGTCTTTTTACACAAGATTTTAGAGGAAATGACACTTCATGAGTTCATTCCACTATTTTTGTTTCCCGAACGATAATAATTAAATAAATCCTTCATGACTCAATGAAGATGCATTCAAATTACTTGAGGAAAAGTAGTTGATCTGTATTTACACTAATTTTGATATACACAAATTGGATGAATTCATCTTAAATCTTTCATTTTACAAAAATTTTCCAATTAAACATTAGTGTAAATGCAGTCATATCTATTCTTCACAACTTCCCCCATCAATATAATTTGCCATTTTGTCCTTACTGCAAAAAGAACAAATAATAAAAAAAAACAGATATCTATGCCTACTTATATTCCAGCTTGACGGGGGGTGTTGACTTGATCAAGTTTTATGGATTCTTCTCGTATGCATGAATGCAAGACCTATGCTTTAGTATTTTTTGTTTCTTTATTCTGTTATGAACATTAGCGTGTTTCTCTTGTAAACTCGCTATTTTATTTTCACTCTTTTATTGTTTGCTTTTATGTTTTCCCTCAGCTCACGTGCTAGCCAAGTGTGGTTACACGTGCTGCCTAGTTATTGGGGTTTAGGATCTAGTTTAAGTGTGAGTTTTCCACACTAAGTACTGTACTAAATTTTGAGCTCGAAGCTCGTCCTTTAATGGCGATTTAAGATTTTGAATGTTGTTTTCGAGATAATTTCCTTTAATTGTTGTATGTGAGCTTGTTCTACATGGTATCTAGAGCGGGTTGAAGAAATGGCGCACAACAACGACGAACAAGGACGCGATCTGGTCAGAGGAATCTACACTCGCGACGTAGATCCACTCTCACTTCATGGATCGGACCACCCTGGGATGGTCCTTGTCACTAATCAACTGAACGGCTCGAACTATCTCCATTGGAGCAGAGCTATGAAGCTTGCCTTGACTGCGAAATCTAAGCTCAACTTTATCCATGGCACAGTACAGATTCCAGATCCAGGATCAGAGGAATACGATCAATATCAAAAGGTAGAATCAATGGTAATTTCCTGGATTCTCAACTCGATTTCAAAGGAAATTGTACAAGCTTTTGTATATGTTAAAAGTGTCAAACAACTGTGGGATGAACTGGCAGAAAGATACGGTGAGAGTAACGGACCTTTAAGGTATCAGTTACAGAGAGAAATTGCTACTTTTACACAAGGAAACCTATCTGTCACTGCTTATTATACTAAGTTGAAATGCTTGTGGGATGAGTTTTCATGTTTGGTCACCTTGCCGGATTGCTCGTGTGGAACTGGTAAAGCCTTTTTTGAGTTGGACATGGAAATTAAACTCATGCAGTTCCTTATGGGACTAAATGAGGTTTTTGAACCAGTGAAAAACCAAATTCTGCTATTAGACCCTCTACCAACTGTTAATAGGGCCTATTCTATGATTTTAAAAGTGGAAAAACAAAGAGGGCCTGCTGCAGGAATAAATGTATTTGAGAATTCAGCTATGCTTGTAAAAGGAAACTTCGGGAGAGGAACATGTAGAGGACAGGTTTTTGGTAGAGGTAATGCAGGCAGACACCATCCATTGCAACAAACCAACAACACTGAGAAAGGCAGATTTGGGCTGAGGTTATCAAAAGAAGAAAGGGCAAAACTGTATTGCACACATTGTGGCTATAATGGTCATGATATACAAGGATGTTTTAAACTTAATGGCTATCCTGACTGGTTCAAAGAGTTGAGGGAGAAAAGGCAGAATCAAAGTGTCAACATGGCAGAAAATGACAATTCATCAAAGGGTGATTTTGAGACAAAATCTCAGGCCAGTGACTCATCTTCAGACATTGGTTTACTCATTCAAAAGGAGATTGCTAAATATATGTCTAATCAACAAAATGCTGAGATACATTCCTATTCTCATTTTGCTGAATTGGTTGAAGATCATGAAGATTATGCTTTCTCATTGATCAGACAGGCTGCAAAGGAAAATTGGATCATAGATACTGGTGCCAGCAAGCACATATGTTGTGATGTTTATATGGTTCAAAAGAAGACTTGGGTGGCAAATCCCATACTGGTAAATCTTCCAGATGGATCAAAGGTGAAGGTGAGTCAAATAGGAGAAGTATCACTCAATGACAAGCTGATTCTAAGAGATGTGCTAATAATTCCAGAGTTCAAATACAATTTGTTGTCTGTGGGACAGCTGGTTGAGAGGGATGATCTGAATTTCAATTTCACAAACAAAGAGTGCAGGCTGATGGATTCCAAAGGAGACATAACTATTGCAGTAGGAAGAGCAGTAGGGGGTTTATATATGTTGGAAACAAGAGATCTACATGTTAATGCAGTTGATAATGATCTACATGTTAATGAGAAGCTGATTTTATGGCATAAGAGACTTGGACACAACTCAGTCAATTGCTTAAAGCACTTGCAGTTCATTAAGGGAGATTGCACAAAAGAAGAACTGGGGGTATGTGAAATTTGTCATAAGTCCAAACAATCAAGGCTATCATTTCCTCTCAGCCACATTCACAGCAAAGAAAAGTTTGAACTAATACACATGGATGTTTGGGGTCCACACCATGAGGATTCAGTTCTTAACACTCCATACATGCTCACAATAGTTGATGATTTAACCAGAGCTACATGGATCTATCTCTTGAAATATAAATCAGAAGCAGTTGTTCATGTGAAATCATTCTTCAAGTTGATTGAAGTGCAGTTCAACTTGAAAATTAAGAAAGTAAGGACAGATAATGGCAGTGAGTTTGTGAACAAAGAGATAGAAGGTTTCCTGAGGGACAATGGTGTGATCCATCAAAGAACTTGTCCATATACCCCACAACAAAATGGGGTTGTGGAAAGAAAACATAGGTCTATATTGGAAGTTGCAAGATCCTTGTCCTTTCAAGCTCATCTACCTAAACAGCTTTGGTCCTACAGTCTTTTGGCAGCAGTGCAAATTTTAAATACACTTCCCAGTGAAAAATTGGGGTGGAAGTGTCCTTATGAACTTCTACATGAAGTTCAACCAACATATGACAAGTTCAAGATTTTTGGAAGTCTTTGCTTTGCCAGCAGACTTGATCCTCATAGAAAGAAATTTGATGAAAGAGCAGTGAGTTGTGCTTATTTGGGGTTTGTGTCAGGGGTAAAAGGATACAGAGTCTACAATCTGGAGACAAAGGATGTATTTGTCACACGAGATGTGATATTCTATGAAAACAAATTCCCTTTTCTTGAGCAAACAACCACTGCTGATTTACAACAACCACAAATCCCTTTGCCAATTGTTATTGATGAATCTGAGGACACCTACACACCTGATATTGCAACTGAAGTTCATAAGAATATCTCAATGGATTCACATGCTAGTCCACAGAGGAGAAGTACCAGAATAAGGAGGCCACCACAGTGGATGTCAGATTACATCAGTGAATTACCACAACACAATGAAGTAGAGTCTTTCTTTTCAGTTGTGAACCAAACTTTATCAGAACCATTGTTCTATGAACAGGCTACTGGTGATGAAAGGTGGATAGAAGCAATGAACAAAGAGCTGGGAGCATTGGAAGCCAATCAAACATGGGTGCTAACCAAACTACCACAAGGAAAAAAGGCAATAGGCTCTACATGGGTCTACAAAATCAAGAGGAATCTAGATGGTACTGTTGACAAGTTTAAGGCCAGGCTGGTAGCCAAGGGGTACCTGCAAAAGAAAGGTGTTGACTTCATTGAAAGCTTTTCTCCAGTTGCAAAACTTGTTACAGT